AAATGTACCATCCACGGAAATTTTATAGTTTGTTTCATAACATTGCCATCGTTGCCAGATAATTTTGAAGGAATGCGGTACCATAGCGAGAGACGGGAAGATTACTGGGAAGGAACGCGTTACTATAACTAGGGACGGGAAGATTACTGCGAAGGAACGCAAAAATAGGGACAGGAGGATTATTGCGAAGGAATGTGGTACTGTAGCGAGAGACGGGAAGATTACTGTGAAGGAACGCGGTACAATAGCGAGGGACCGGATGATTACTGCGAAGGAACGCAGTACTATAGCGAGGGACGGGAAGATTACTGCGAAGGAACGCGGTACTATAGCGAGGGAATCGGATGATTACTGCGAAGGAACGCGGTTCTATAGCGAGGGAATCGGATGATTACTGCGAAGGAACGCGGTACGAAAGCGAGAGAACCGGAAGTTTATTGAGTTGGAACGCGGCACTGAAGCGAAAAATGGGAAGATTACTGCGATGGAACGCGGTACTAGAGCGGGGGAATCGCAAGATTATTGCAATGGAACGCGGTACAATAATGAGGGAACGTTAGAAGTATATTTTTACCATGGCAGACATTACTGAAAAAAGACTTAAAAACTACATTCATTGCTGGGTCCACAGAATCCATATCTCAAAGAGTAAGCATAATCCTTAGTAAAATCAAGAAAGTGCTGTCTTTCTATTCACAGAAAGCATTTGAAACAAGCGGAATTAATACCATATGGACTGGCAAAAACCCAAGGACTTGCTTAACATTTTGCAATCTCAGAAATGAATTTATGCCTCAACATCAATGTGCAAATTGAGGATAAGACATTTAGGCAAGAAAGAAGTTTCCCCATGAGCACCATCTTTCCGAGGCAAGGGTGTTAACTGACTCTAAAAGTAGAAACTGGACTTTTAAAGTCAGTTAACTCCCTTGCCTCGGGAAGATGCATGGGCACCAGTTGTGTTCTCTGTTGATCTGTTTCTTAACGGGTTCTATTTCTGTTTCCAATTTTTGTTTCAATAAGGGTCAAATTATCAAGTCTTAAATACCTAAACTATACCTTCAGGTCGAAAGGCGACCAGCGAGAACGCCTCGTCTGTTTCATACTAAGATCCCTTCGGGGCGGTCGGGTAGCCTAGTGGTTAAAGCGTTCGCTCGTCACGTTGAAGACCCGGGTTCGATTCCCGACATGGGTACAATGTGTGAAGCCCATTTCTGGTGTCCCCCGCCGTGATATTGCTGGAATATTGCTAAAAGCAGCGTAAAACCATACACACACTCACTTGTGAAGATTCATGAAGATTCAGAGTGACAAAAGACTCTCCACAAGACTGTATGAAAATAGGGATGACTAAAAGCTTCCTATAGTTTACGTTCCCTGTGTGCAATATTCCAGCAGTTCCAGCCTTTGGTGTCTACATTTCACAACAGGGGTACAATCGAGTATGCTCTTTCTATGAATACTGGTATTTGAAAAAACCCATCATACGACTCGATCAAGGTTAAAATATTGATACCTTTCAAAAGGTTTTGTGGTAGACATTTCCAAATTTGACGGATCAGTGACAAAATTGATGCTCGATGGAATTCCCTATTTTGACTTAACACTGATATGTTCACGTGTTCATTATTGACTTTCCTCTGCATGTGTTTGTGACGGGTGCCACAGGTGAGGAGGGATACGCTCACCTTTTCGCGAACTCCTGGTAAGATCACTGTGTGATAGTGATTCAGAAACACATGCTCATGATATAGTCAGAATCTCACAATCGACTCATATGAACCGGTATATCTGCTCCGATAAGAAAACGACGTACAACGTCATGGTTAACAACTTCTTGTTTATTGCATATAACGACTTCTTGTTTATTGCGTATTGCGGCTTCTTGTTTATCGCATATAACGACTTCTTGTTTATTGCGTATACCGGCTTCTTCTTTATTGCATATAACGACTTCTTGTTTATTGCGTATAACGGCTTCTTGTTTATTGCATATAGTGACTTCTTGTTTATTGCATATAGTGACTTCTTGTTTATTGCATATAACGACTTCTTGTTTATTGCGTATTGCGGCTTCTTGTTTATCGCATATAACGACTTCTTGTTTATTGCGTATACCGGCTTCTTCTTTATTGCATATAACGACTTCTTGTTTATTGCGTATAACGGCTTCTTGTTTATTGCATATAGTGACTTCTTGTTTATTGCATATAGTGACTTCTTGTTTATTGCATATAGTGACTTCTTGTTTTTTGCATATAGCGGCTTCTTGTTTATTGCGTATAACGGCTTCTTGTTTATTGCATATAGTGACTTCTTGTTTATTGCATATAGCGGCTTCTTGTTGATTGCATATAGCAACTTCTTGTTTATTGCGTATAGCGGCTTCTTGTTTCTTGCGTATTGCGGCTTCTTGTTTATTGCATATAGTGACTTCTTGTTTTTTGCATATAGCGGCTTCTTGTTTATTGCGTATTGCGGCTTCTTGTTTATTGCATATATCGGTTTCTTGTTTATTGCATATAGTGACTTCTTGTTTATTGCATATAGCGGCTTCTTGTTTAATGCATATAGCGGCTTCTTGTTTATTGCATATAGCGGCTTCTTGTTTATTGCGTATAGCGGCTTCTTGTTTATTGCATATAGTGACTTCTTGTTTATTGCGTATAGCGGCTTCTTGTTTATTGCATATAGCGGCTACTTGTTTATTGCGTATAGCGGCTTCTTGTTAATTGCATATAGTGACTTCTTGTTTTTTGCATATAGAGGCTTCTTGTTTATTGCGTATTGCGGCTTCTTGTTTATTGCATATAGCGGCTTCTTGTTTATTGCATATAACGACTTCTTATTTATTGCATATAGCGGCTTCTTGTTTATTGCGTATTGCGGCTTCTTGTTTATTGCATATATCGGTTTCTTGTTTATTGCATATAGTGACTTCTTGTTTATTGCATATAGCGGCTTCTTGTTTAATGCATATAGCGGCTTCTTGTTTATTGCATATAGCGGCTTCTTGTTTATTGCGTATAGCGGCTTCTTGTTTATTGCATATAGTGACTTCTTGTTTATTGCGTATAGCGGCTTCTTGTTTATTGCATATAGCGGCTACTTGTTTATTGCGTATAGCGGCTTCTTGTTAATTGCATATAGTGACTTCTTGTTTTTTGCATATAGAGGCTTCTTGTTTATTGCGTATTGCGGCTTCTTGTTTATTGCATATAGCGGCTTCTTGTTTATTGCATATAACGACTTCTTATTTATTGCATATAGCGGCTTCTTGTTTATTGCATATAGCGGCTACTTGTTTATTGCGTATAGCGGCTTCTTGTTTATTGTATATAGTGACTTCTTGTTTTTTGCGTATAGCGGCTTATTGTTAATTGCATATAGTGACTTCTTGTTCATTGCATATAGCGGCTTCTTGTTTGTTGAATATAGCGACTTCTTGCTTATTACATATAACGATTTCATGTTTATTGCATACAGCGACTTCTTGTTTATTACATATAGGGACGTTTCAATTCCAACACCGTTATCAAGCTAGAGTGAGTGAGTGAGTTCAAATTTATCGTCGCATCTGCATTATTTCTGCCATTTGGCGAAGAAGCTAGAGGCAAGAGAGTTACATGCATATGTTATGAGAAGCAAATTGACATTAACAACACCAAGTAAAAGCGTACAAGTAGCACAGTTTATCTACTGTTAAATATGCTAATATATGTTGTTGTTAACGCTAATAACAAGACAAACAATCGAAATCGGCTATACGGAAGCATTTGTCCTTTCTGTAGTTTCTATCGGCTTTACACAGTCAACTTCCGGAACAGGAATCCGGATTTTATAATAAACCCGTTTTTACCATGATCGTGATGTCGTCTGCGTGGTCTAGTGGATATATATTATAAAACATGGACGGCTCGGATTCAGTGTCTGAGTGGGGTATCCATGTTTACACGCGAGAGGGTCAAGCAGCAACACGCACACACACACCATGCACGCACGCAAACACGCACGTACTATGCACTCACGCACGCACATACCACGCCCCTCGCAATATTATAAGTACAACAATATTGCACGCGACGTTAAACTCGATTTCACCTCGCCATGATCATGATATCCCGAATCCATTGTGCTTCTCTACATGCCAATGGTCAAATTCTTAAGATTGGCACCATTCATGAACTCGTGACAAGCAGTCCGAGAATTCCCCGTAGTTCATTATATATTTCTGTTTGACGCCAGCACAGATGACCTAGTGATATAGGGCACCACGAGTCGCGTCTCTTATCAAACATCTGATCCCAGGATTCAGTCTTCGTGCTGATTACAATTCTTGGCCTGTCACCGCAAATGTCCTGCTCCGGCAAACGTAGTAAACGTTTGAGATTCGCAGCACCTTGGCCGTTCATCCATCACTAAGCTGACACGCCTGATAGAACTGAAATACGGTTAAAAGCGGCGCTGAACCCACTCACTTACTCACTCACTCACTCAAACTAGAGTAAAGGGATTAAATTGGCATCTTGACGAAGGGCGGATCCAGCATTTATAAAAGGGAGGTGTCCAAAATGCGCCCCATATCCCCCAGCCCACCCCCACCTCTTTTCATCCGCCTAGGTTGACCAATTATACGCTAGTTCTCCCTTGACTGAAGTGGGGTGAATGAGTTTGGCACGAACAGTTTTATTAGCATGTTTATATCTTTGCTTGTTTGTTTGTTTGTTTGTTGTTAACGCCGCAATAGTCCAGCTATATGACGGCGGTCTGTATATAATGGAGTCTGGACAAGACAATCCAGTGATTGACATGACATCATCCACACAAATGGGATACGATGACATGCATCAACCAAGTCAGCGAGCCTGACCTCCCGATCCCGTTAGTCGCCTCTTACGACAAGCATAGTCGCCTTTTACGGCAAGCATGGGTTGCTGAAGACCTATTCTACTCCGGATCTTCACGGGTCGTTTTATATCTATGTTTTCTGTTACTTTCAGGTCAATCTATGACAATGAATACATTCACCTGTGTGCTCGTGATCGTGTGTGCTGTGAAGCTGCACTGGGCTTCCCTTCAATCAAATTTCGTTCCTTGTGCGGAGCATTGCAAGTGCCGGTACCCAACCAGAGACACCCCAACACAATATATGGACTGTATCAACCAAAGCCTAACTTACTTTCCAAAAGAAACAAAGCTGAAAACAACCGTGCCAACTTACATATTCTTCATAGGCAACAAGCTAACAGTTGTAAACAGTGCAACATTTCGAAACATATCCAGGCTACGGGTAGTGTTTCTGAGACTGCGCAAAAATGGTATTAAGAACATATCCAGGGACGCATTCAATACTCTACGCTTTCTGCAACATTTAGATTTAAGCTATAACAGCATCAATCTCCAACAGCTGAGGAGTTCATTTAGATCTATCAGAAGCAAAAGCTTTCAGAATCTGAACATGAGCCATATGAACATCGAGGCCATCCCAGAAAATATGTTTGAATCATTCGGGAACCTATCTGCAGTCAATATTTCACTTGCCCACAATAATCTTACATTATTCAATACAAAGGTGATTGAAACTGTTCCTGGTTTGAAGTTTCTTAATCTTGCCTGGAATAAACTCACCAATTTATCAATGTGGGCGAACCTTTCCAGTAATATGGAACGATTAAAACTGGATAATAATTACTTGTATGATGTCCCCAATTTCTGTAAGAACAATAGCCTATCTTTCTTTCCTGAACTTGTAAGACTCAATCTGCAATTCAATTTTATGAGAACTATAAATCCAGAACACTACAGCTGTTTAAGCCAACTGAGGAGATTTCATCTCAATGGAAATTTGTTTAAGACTTTGAAAACGAACATGTTTGCCGGTCTGCACTCCATTGAAAGAATCACGTTGTCGGAAACATTTGCTCTGCTGAAAATCGAAAAGGCTCCGTTTAATAACACCAGTCTTAAGAAGGTATTTTTCCGAAAAAATGCATTATACACAGAAATGCACAGGGGTCATCTCAACATTTTCGAAGGTTGTACATCGATGGAACTGTTAAACATGGCTGACAACATTTTAGATAAAACAAGCGAAGCACAGTTTGATGAGTTATTTAAACCGTTAGGAAATTTGACAACCTTGATTATGGGGGGCTGTCGACTGACTCAAATCCCACGGGCAGTTACCAAATACCTTCGTAATCTTAAAGAACTTGTACTCTACAACAACAGGATCAGTTCCTGGCCAGATGGGACGCTGAACAGTCTGGTTTATCTGCAGATAGTCTATATGAGGCAGAATGTGATATCTATTGTTTCTGAACAGTCTTTTCCTCCAGGATTCAGAAGAAGAGCCAAGAAGGTGGATTTGTCATCTAACGCGTTTCAGTGTACTTGTGAACTGAAGTGGTTTATCCACTGGATGAAGATAGAGCCTCAGGTATTCAATGTTACCGATTTTCACCAAAACTACAAATGTATGTCTCCTTCTTCCGTTCATGGTGTTGACCTCGCGCACATTATACTGTCCAAAAACATATGCATGCTTGACCTTAACTCGAAAATAATCACGTTGACATGTTCAACGTTGTTGGTGGTGTTTGTTGTGGTCGGCTCGGTTCTATATCACCTTCGATGGCATTTGCGATATCTTATATACATGATGAGATACAACAACCGCCACGAAGTAGACACTGGTCACTATGAATATGACGCATTCATCGCCTATGGTCAGAACGACAGGCCGTGGGTTATTAAGACACTCATGCCTATTCTTGAAGGTCAAGGTCAACTGAAACTATGCATCCATGACCGTGATTTCGAGGTAGGCAAGCTCATTGTTGATAATATTGTGGATTGCATTGACAATAGTCGCTGTTTGGTGATTATTCTATCAAATAGTTTTGCCGAAAGTGGTTGGTGCCAGTTTGAACTGGCACTTATTCAAAGATATATACTTGAGAATGGCAACCGCCCCCTGGTGGTGGTGATGCTAGAAGAAATAAACACTCGTCACGTGACCAAAGCTATGAGGGCAATGCTGCAGACGACAACTTACTTACTGTGGGGCGAGGAAGACTATGCCAGGAAAGCATTCTTCAATCGACTGCGTCTGTTGCTGCATAGGCCTACACACAAGGCTAGGAAAAGAACAAATTCGGTGTGAACTGGAGTGGGGTGGCTTAGTGGTTAAAGCCTTCACTTGGTATGCTAAATACCTGGTTCGAATCTACACACGTGGCCATTAATAGTGTCTCCGCTTTTTGCAGGAAATCGGCGCAAATACATGCTCAGTCGGTGTAAACCTGGCATATCTGTGAAACTGGCCACATCAGGCTGTAGACATACAGAACTTACACTGAACTGCCTGAAACACCAACGAATGAAAGCTATTGTCATGATTTCTTGTACTTTAGTCTATGCACTCTGATTTATACCCTGCTCTGTCAATCAACGTACATAGTATCAACTATAGTTTCTTAATGTATTGATTGTTGTTTCATTATTACTTTTGGCAAGCATTGCATACAACCACTGGTAACTGAGCTAATGGCATATATGCTGCTGGGGAATTCACACAGGAAGAGGAGTCACTGTATGCCCCATGATCCCCAGTATTAATTTGTTTGTTTGTTGTTGTTTATAGTCTTCCAGCTTTATGACGGCGGTCTGTAAATAATCGAGCCTGGACCAGACAATCCAGTGATTGACATCATGAGCATCGATCCACGCAGTTGGCATACGATGACATGCATCATCAACCAAGTCAGCGAGCCTGACCATCCGATCCCGTTAGTCGCCTCCTACGAAAAGCATAGTCGCCTTTTACTGCAAGTATGGGTTGCTGAAGACCTACGCTACCCCCGATCTTCACGGGTTCAATGATCCCCAGAAAGGTGGTCTAGGCTTGGTTGCGTCTGGTCTATAACTTGTTTATAACCTATTCTATTAATACTATTAAACAGTAATGTGTTTCAAATATGATTTGTTTTTTTTTTGGTACTCAGATGTGATGTTACTTACCGTTTAACTTTTCTTTTGTTGACAGAGTAGAAACAATTTATGGATAACAACTTCTTTAATTACTGTAAAGGCGTTTAGAGCAATTTAAGAAGTTGTTATCCATAAATGGTGTCTACTTTGTCATCGGCCAACTTCGAAGTAATGCCTATCAAACAATTCTTTGTTGACAGGTGTTTAAAAATGATTACCTCCTTCTCATCGCGATATGGCTGCAATACTGCCGGAGCTTTCAGTATATTTGCAGACAGAGGACGAGGAGCTTAATGCAGGTAACGCCTCCATTCGGTCGAGACCATACTGTAACCAGAATCTCGACAGTGCATCTGTTAGATCATACATATTTTTAATTCGTTTGTTTTATGTACATATGTTCTAATCTTATGCGGGGGCGTTTCGCTGTGCAGAGTTGCGTCCCTTGGGCACGCCAGAAACCTATGATTGTGGGTTCGAATCCCGGTTCGCCCCGATTATGTTTCTAGGTTTGTCAGCACCATAGCCGTGCTCGTGGTTTTCACCGAAGTGGTAAACGTCTGAGATCTGCATCACTTCGGGCTTTCCTCCACTTCGCGGCTGACACGCCGTGATATCACTGGAATATTGTTTAAAGCGGCGTTAAACCCAACTCAGTCACTGCAATCTTATGCATTGTATATCCTAAATTTCTTATAAACTATGAGCATTGCTTGAGCACCACCAGATACAAAATCCAATTTCGGAATATAATGACAAAGCCTGATCTGAGCTGGAGGCCCTCGCTCCAGTTCAGAACCTGAACGTATTGACGAAGGCACAGCACCAGGAATGATGGCTCGGATTTTAATGATGAACATCATACGTCTGACCAGCTGCGTGAGGCGCCTCGCGAACGTCATCAGTGAGAGTGATGCATACTCCAGATACTAACTGCAGAGTCAGTGGGTTGACAAGACTAATTTTTGACTGCATAATGTGACAGTCCGAACAGTGGTGTGTGGGCTGGATGCTGATACTTGTGAGCGTTGTTAAAATGAACCTTTTTTTACCTCTTCACATATATTCAATAAATCGGTACCTGTTGCTAGTGTCAGCTTCATTATTTGTGTGATGGCACTGCCAGGCGGTCTGTTTGTCAGTTTGCTACTTCTTTGAATCCTTTACAAGCATGAATCACACCAGCCTCTTTATAATGTAAAACATATCCGGAAAAACTGGGTGGTCCTTAATTAATGCTCATTTGCATACATAGGAACTAAGAGCTGTTATATTGGTACAGATACAAGTGACAAATTGATGAATTGTGCAAGTGATAATACAAACAGGAAGCTTTCATCAACAATCCTAACAGTATAGAGAAATAGACCCAAGATACCAAGATGGCTGCCGAATTTCAAGATGGCAGCAAATTGTCACACTAATTATCTATTCGTAACATAGAAATTCATAGAACTAGCCGATTGTGGCGATGTTAGTGTTGCTCGCAATGTGTTTTTTACATAGCGACTCGGTTTAGTTCTCTAGAATTTCGCAGATAGTTCTGTTCATCATTCAAACATAGACCTTTCATTTATACATAGACCATCGGTGCCCTGTATTGATGACATACTCTGATTTATATACTTTCTTACAGATCGTTGTTGATGGTGAAACCTGTAAGAGAAAGCTCCTCCAGGATTAAGCCTGATTTTATATGGTCGTTGGTATACCACAACCACATACGTGCTCGTATATTCTGGACGTGAGGTGAGGTGAAATGGGGTTTAACGTCGCCTCCAAGATTATTGCACTAATAAAGCGACGTGCATGCACGTGTGTTTGTGTGGCTGCTTGTACTAGTCCGGACTGGTGCCGATTTATAGTGCTAGCCCACATAGATACCATGCCGCAGTTTAACATGAAAACCCCACTCAGACAGTTTACTGACTCCGAGCCGACCAGTCCTTGTTATAGCCCCTTAATGCCGAGCGTTAGACAGGGTAACAACAAGTACCTTCTTTTAACGTCTTTTGGTATGACGCAGTCGAGGATCGAACCCCGGACTTCCGCTGTCCGGGCGGACGCTCTACCACTAGACCACGGAGGCGGTCTGTATATTCTGGAAACGTGGAAGTGGAAAACGTCTAACATGCTTACAATTCAGGCTCATTTCTATGGTATGTGTTGGTTTGTCAGTGGGTCATTTTAACGCTATGAAGGTTACAAATGGGGTGTCTGACAAATTGGGTGTCTGACAGATTGGGTGTCTGACAAATTGGGTGTCTGACAAATGGGGTGTCTGACAAATGGGGTGTCTGACAAATAGGGGTGTCTGACAAATGGGGTGTCTGACAAATGGGGTGTCTGACAAATGGGGTGTCTGACAGATGGGGTGTCTGACAGATGGGGTGTCTGACAAATAGGGTGTCTGACAAACAGAGGTGTCTGACAAATGGGGTGTCTGACAGATGGGGTGTCTGACAAATGGGGTGTCTGACAAATGGGGGTGTCTGACAAATAGGTTGTCTGACGAATGGCGTGTCTGACAGATAAGGTGTCTGACAAATGGGGTGTCTGACAAATAGGGGTGTCTGACAAATGGGGTGTCTGACAAATGGGGTGTCTGACAAATGGGGTGTCTGACAGATGGGGTGTCTGACAAATGGGGTGTCTGACAGATGGGGTGTCTGACAAATGGGGTGTCTGACAAATAGGGATGACCATTCTGTACAGCCAGTAGCAATGCCTTGAACCTCTGGGCCATCCACGCCCCCTTTAATTGTGCAAGGGTACTTGGTGCTCCGGTTGCTCAATATCTTTGTGTAGATAGTGTAGAGCGTCACGTGATACACAGAGCAATTACCCACCCACGTGATATGTAGTTATGACCTTAGCTATGTACGGAGGTGGTACGCGCGCGGTGGATCCCTGTACGGGATCTTTGTACAGAGACGCACGGTATCAATAGCCTGAAATGTGATAGTCTTCTTATGTCTGTTGACGGTGCGATATAACGCGCTTGTGAGTCATACTAGCTATTGACTACGACATAAGTAACGAGTGTCAGCGAAACCATGCTTCCTGCTCTTTATCGGGAAAATGAGTGTCTTGCTGATTAGTCATCTCAAACATTTTGTCAGGCATGTCATATTATTGTCTCTGTGGACGTTATGGGTCATAAACAGGATGTATTTAATAACAATAGGCCTCTGTTGATGATAATACTTGTATGACTAATGTAGACTAGGAAGTTGTTTTATATGTAATGAGGGATTATATTCATATTTAAGATTTGGAATATTAGGGAAATTCGATCCGACTCTCTGTGGACGTTATGGGTCATAAACAGGATGTATTTAATAACAATAGGCCTCTGTTGATGATAATACTTGTATGACTAATGTAGACTAGGAAGTTGTTTTATATGTAATGAGGGATTATATTCATATTTAAGATTTGGAATATTAGGGAAATTCGATCCGACGGTAATATAATATGTTCTCATATACACTCCACACACACACACACACACAAACACACACACACGCACGCACGCACGCACGCACGCACGCACATACAGACATACATACATACATACATACATACATACATACATACATACATACATACATACATACATAAATCATTTGTTCTTTGGTTGCAAATAAGCAACAACTATGTACAGTCGTGAAAGTCAATTGTCTATGCGTTTATCACAACCATTTATAAATAAAAAATAGATTTCCATTTAAATGCGTGTCTCAGGTAGATCAACGGCGTCCATACGGACCTTAATACTATTATAATCTTGACCTCGAACCACTTTATCACACAACAGCCTTGTTCACCGCTGTAGACGCTCGTCGAGTTGGCCGCACACACGGAGGTGACTGTGACCTTAGCGTACACGAAATCCGTGGAGATTGTACTGTGTCTTGTCTAATACTCGGTTTGTAATAAGAAATATGTACTAAAAACAAAATCGATGGTACGATTCGGACTGTGCCATGAGCATATGTTCATGAATCACTTTCACACAGAAAAAGGGACAGTTTGTTTTCACTCAATCACATCAAATCTTTAATATTTACATGCTAAACGCCCTTGGTTAAATCAACCTAATCTAACATATTAGCCCTGTGTTGTCTCCAGAATCCAGAAGCGGTTAATTGTGTGATTTGTCAGCAGCCCATTCAGAACTCCCTAGAAACTCTGACGAGTATAAGTCTTTCTATCTAAACTACCGGGCAAAAGAAAGTATACACTTGAAAACTGGATATGACCTGAATATTACAAACGTTATGGAAACGTTAAGGCTGACAACAGTCACCGAACCACTGCAAACTTTAAGTCCAAAACAACCACGATACCAATATCAAATACATCACCATGGAATATCTATGTGTCTGTTTCTTTCTTAACCACCATCAAACATGGCGTATACTTTCTTTTGCCCGGGAGTATATGTCACAATGACCTGTTAACAATAGAATCTAGGGTACTCATGCCAGTGGTAGATAGTGTGCACAATGAACAAGGTCATTTGGGGACAATACGACTCACACACTGTACACATGCGAAACCCATTTAGTGTGACAAACATGAGGGAGAAGATATACTGGGTGAGTCCACCATTACCGTATATAATCAAAAAACAAACGAACCCATAAAGGTGATGTCAAAAATTGATTAAACCAATATAAACCCTGTCTCCAAAGCTATGTAACGCATTCGGAACACAGAGACGAGGTA